CCCCGACTTACCACCGCTGCGTTGCGAAGGGCGATCACAATGTCGGCGTAAAGCTTATCTAGAGTATGCCAGTGGCCACGGTCATTACAAGCATAATCAGCACAGCTCACACAATCCGAATAAAAGTCAATCAATCTTGAATCTTGAATCAATCCTCCTATGACACTCAATGGTATACATAGAGATTTGTTTAACATACTTCTTTCACCCCATAATATATCTTTATTTGGATTCATAATTTTAGGTAATATTTTAGAGGTTAGTAATTTTAAATCGCAATTTATAATAAGTGGAAAGTGGTCCGACGATTGAGTGTCATATATTACATCAACATTAATCACAGACTGCTTTGCCGACTGAGTAGTAATGCAGTGATCCAGCCAGCTGCATGTCCCGAACACATCACTAATAAAAGTAAAAGTGCCCGTGTTTAACCCTAATATCTCTGTGTCTATACACGACCATAGTTGGTCATTACAAAAATTAATAAGTTCACTGTAAAACAACTCACCCGGGTCCGCATTAAAGTCTCCCAAAATAAATACGGCATCAATTCCGTATTCGTCAACAATCGCACTCACCGTACTCAAACAGTCTATAAATTCTGGTAAATTTTCTACCGAATTTGTTGGCATATAAACACTCATTATTATCACAGGTCTATCACACCTCCTTCTCCCCTCGGATCGTGCCCAGTGTGGACGTCTGTTAAGAGTTGATTCCACGCTACGTATTTATTGTATTTATTATTTATTATTCTTAATGTAATCTTTGATTTAATTGAACACAAAAATAGGAGAACATAAATCGACGGGAGTTCTTTTTCTGCAACTAGCAAGTAATCTGTAGTGTGCGTGCATAAAATCTTGAAAATTCTCGGAGCGTGTGTGTGAGTGACTCAATAAAAGTGTACAATCAATCAAGTATCAAGTGGGAACGAGAAGTCCGTCATGTTAACGCATTGATGCATTCACAAGCCATAACTACCGTAAGTCATTAGTCACCACTGCTATTCATAAAAACGTGTTCGTAATATGTACATATTGTCCTAACGAACGGGTCTATGCAAATTGGACGGAACGGGTTTCTGTATGAAATCGTAGATCGTCGACCAGATTAGCTGACCCTGCGGCGACATTGCATTTACTTTCATTAGCTAAATCCTTAGCTCCTAGTATTTTGATATTGTTTCTCTTGAAGTATTAATATGCCACTCAAACGTACACCGCCCCCCGCTACCCCTCCGGTGGACAAGAGCAAAAATAGAAATGCGGGTGCGGTTGCATCCCTAGTAAATAGTGCAACTTCCTCGCCTGACATGCCTTCCCCTAATAACGATAATGTTACTTTGAGGCGCAAAACTGAAGAAAAGTATAGTATGCATTATTTTATGGAGGAAATTAAAGGGATGCTTACCAATACTTCAGAACAATATAATAGCAAATTTTCATCATTACATACTTCTATGAAAGAAATCCTATCCCAAAACAATGAAATAAAGGAATCCATTGAAATTATATCGAATCAGTACGATGAGATGAAAGTTAAATGTTGACTCACTCGAGAATAAAGAAAAGATGACCGATTATATATACATCAATTAGAAGAAAAAATTAATACATTGGAGCAAACAATCATCTCATCGAAGCTTGAATTACGTAATATTCCGGCGGGAACTAGTGACACTAAAGAAAGTTTATGCAAAATTGTATTGAAAGCGGCTAACGTCCTGGAAGTTCCACTCGAACAGCAAGAAATAAAAGATAATATATATATATATATATATATATATATATATATATATATATATATATATATATATATCGTACCAAAAATAAAACTGGAAGTATAAATATCATTGTCGACTTGAGTACTACACTCAATAAAGAAAAATTATTCAAAAATGCGCGCAAATATAACACAAAAAAATTACTCAAATAAATTTAATACTTCACATCTCTCTATGGAAGGTCCAAAGAAACCAGTTTTTATCTCAGAACATTTAACACAGAAAGCAAGGCGCCTTAACTATTTAGCCCGCAAATTTGCGCAGGAGCATGGATATAAGTTTTTCTGGACTACTTTTGGAAGGACGTACCTGCGTCAAGATGAGGGTAAACCACACATCAGAGTTGATTCCGAATCTGACTTAGCCAAGCTGAGAAACCCAAAATGACTACAGCAAGAAGATATTCCCAGCTTAAATTTTTGGATCCTTTTTCTTATACTGTATTTATTTATGTCATACATGAACTCTAAAATTGTAAAATTTGTTATATTGTATCATATTTTTATATATTTAATAATGCATAAATATATAATATGTGTATTGATATATTATATATATTTTATGGTTAATAATACCAATGTATACATGAAATCACATTACACTTTTGTTCATTTTAAATATCGCTTAATAGATTTTCTGTATAAGTATATAATTGTTAAAATTATTATTTTAACAGCCTATAGTTGCGACAATGACGTTTTCTTTATCTCAAAGAGATAGAACTACAGAATACTATTGTATCGGACATCGATAATATCACTATGGCTTCATCTTATATCTGCGATGCTTTAGAGTGCAATAACTTAGTAAAGGAATCAAGTATGTCCATTAATATTATTACGCAAAACATACGTAGTGTTTACAAAAACCTTGATGGCTTTATGGCTTACATATCGCAACTATCTTTTGAACCGGACGTAATAATTTTAACCGAATGTCGCCTAGAATTGAATAAGCCCATTCCACGTCTTCCGGGTTATAAATGCCATTTTTCAAAAAAATATCTTAATCAAAACGACGGTATAACCGTTTACACAAAGCATAGTTTTGATTGCATAATACAGAACCTGAACCAATGGGTGCTAATTACCTATTAATTAAAATTAACCCGGACATAGTCATTTTAGCGGTATACAGGTCTCCGTCGTTTTACTATATTGACAGTTTTCTAAATACCCTAGAAAGTATTATTCGACCAATAAAGGCTAAAACATCTTTCTTATTGGCGATATCAATATTAACATTACAAAAGGCAATGAGGATAAACATAGTGAACCATACTTAAATCTAGCTGCTGGGTTAGGTCTCCTGCCTGGTCACACTTACCCCACACGTATACAAAATTGCCTAGATCATGTAATGACTAAAACGATATTAACCACATGGCTTGGCTTTTTAAGCTAAGACACATTGCTGATTTTGATTTATTGCGCACAATATACTTTGCTTTAGCACAATCAATTATAGGTTATTGCTTAAGTGTCTGGGGAGGATTGTGCAAAAGTTTTTTTTAATTAAACTCGAAAGAGTACAAAGATGTTTACTAAAAACTATGACTTTTAAACCTTATAGATACTCAACAAAATTATTATACAGCGAATGCAAGTTGCTGTCTGTCAGGCAATTATACGTTCAGAATTTAATCACCAAGCAACACGATCGCACTCCCTACGACCCTGAGATCTGTCATAATAAACGTAGAATACCCAACGTACTGGCACAGTTCAGATGTCGCACTGCTTTTGCTAGACGGCAAAGCGCATATATCTATATAGTACTCTATAACAAACTTAACAAAATTCTAAATTTCTATCCCCTTTCAAAACATGAGTGTAAAATTAGAGTTCGAGATTGGTTGTTGTCGTTAGATTACAATAATACGGAAAATTTATTAATTTAATTTAATTTATAGTTCCAAAATAAATAAATAAACAAAAAACAGGGAAGTGGTTATTATGTGAAAATTAATGTTAACGTTTCGGTTATGTTAATGCATAATTTATATGTGTATGTATGTATATATATGTATATATGTGTGTTTGTATATATACCTATATGTGTATGTATGTATATATGTGTGTATATATATATGTATAGTATAGAGGTTTGGTATTAAATAAAACACATATAGAATAATTTATCATATTATAATTTTTTTTGGTATTTAATTTAACTTTCAATTGTTTACTTTTCTTTTGTTTCTACTGTAATAATGAAAACATGCATAATTCTCTTAGTGTTACCTGTATTACAACTCTGGGAGAGGCCGCTGATTCCTAAGATACAGACTCGTCTAGTTTGGGAGTCATAGACTTCAAAAACTTTTGTGATTTATTTTTATTGATAATAAAGAATTATTATTAAAGATTTATTGTAATTATTATTACGTTATAATTTTTATACCACAAATACGGCTATTATCGCACTGTAATATTGACACCTGTTGAAACGCACTATATCGCCATAATACTGCAGTTCCCCCAAACTGACGTCCTCTAAGGATGCCCGCAGACATATCCATCACCGATGTTGCCGTGTATCCGAAACCGCTGTCAATGATGCCGATATAGGGTATGTCTTGTGACATTAGCCAAGTTTCCTGAAGACACACCACATCACATGATCGGCAGAGTTCTCGGACCTCGTCTATTGATCGTTTTATATTTTTGCAATTGAATGCGGCAAGTCTAAATGGGGAACTATCCATTATTGGGTTTATTTTGACCGTCTACGCTGGTAGAAACTGCAAAGTTTGTTTTCCTATACTTAAAGTTTACAAAACGTCGTAATATCACACCTTCGGGCCATAGCGTTTCGTCCATGTATTCCGATAAATTAGCCTCAGATATTAAAAATTTATATGCTTTGTGTCCTCTTTTCACTTTCATATTTATTTTCTTTAGGTTCACTATTTCCTTTGTCTTATTATAGATATGGTTAGTTATGTCTTTTTCTGTAGCAGAGACATGCAAATTCGTAATGAACATAGGAATTTTCCTATCGGCAGCTCTGAAGGTGCATTCTAGGTCTCTTGCTATGCCCGACTTTCCTACGTAACGATATTTGTTTTGTTTTTTACGATATACCACTTTTTGCCAGTCTTCGCTGTTAATATTTTGCGAGCGCTCCGGTTCACACGTTTCTAACGCGCATGTATTGCCTGCCTTATCAGTAGTGGTCAGCTGCTCCTCTAGCTGTAGATTCGTGCTCGATGAGTGTAACATCACCGCCGGACCACTTCGAGTGTTCGCCTCCTGATTCACTATTGGCCTTACTCCTACCTCACCGCAGCCTGCAAATGCGCTTGCCTGAGCTCGTTTCACCGACAGACGTTGCCGGTCGTTTAGTTTGTTTTCTGTCGGCTTATGTCGTTCTACCCTCAATTTTTCAGATTGCGTCGAAGGCGATTTTATGATCAATGATTCATTTATGTTTCTTGTACTTATCTCATTGGGCAACATATCATAATCATGTGAGAGTCCCATCGGTCCACTGTCTAGCCACGCACCTCGTTTCATGTTCATTTTGAAAGCTGACGCCGGCGGTGGGGAATCGGTTTTTAAGTGATAGACTTCCGTTCTTAGTTCATTTATACACTCTAGCGTAGCATAAGTCGACTTTATGCCTTCGATAGGCAAATAACGTTGTCGTTGTTGAACAAAGTATAGCTCTAATTTTCTTTATCTAAACCGTAATCAAATGGCTTTAAATTTGATATTTCGGTTATAACTATAGATGGCTCTGCTTATTTATTTACCTTTACTAACAATATCATTTTATCAATATGTTGATATCCGGAAATTGAATTCTGTTCGTGTTCATTCAGTCCTGCGAAAATTGTTTAATTAGGAGCAGAGCACGATGAAATGTTTTATTCCATAAATATATTTCCTAGAAACAAAGAACAAAAACAGTTTTGTTAACGAAATGGCTCACGTGCTCACGTGGCGTTTGTGCCGCAGTGGTCTTAGCACTAAACGTTCACTGTGTGCCCGTGACCTCGATTGATTCGAACAAATAAAAGAGATACCCGACGTTTTTAGTTTTTGTTGCACTTGGTATACGACAAATGCCGCGATTTTGAATTAGTGTAAGTATAAATTTTAGTTTTATCTACTTCTCTATCAACAAGACCCGTTAGAATATCGGAAAGTAAAAAAAATAAGCGACAATTTATGTCAAGTGAGTTTTGGACAATTTTATTAAGCTCCTCCGTTAACTTGTACAGTAACAGGGATAAGAACTGTAAGCGACAAAAAAGTCACGGAAATAATGGCTTAAATATCTTAAATCACAATAATATTTTTGTCAAAAACTCTGGCAATATGTTGTAAACGGAGTCTTAGAAAACAAAGTCCAATCAAAATGTAATAAATGTAACTTTATACATAAATTATTTCTAGCCCAAAACGGTTACCGTACAAACAAAAATGTTTAAAAAAGCCTTAATTTTTTTTTATAGGATGGGGTGACAAACGAGCACACAGTCCACCTGATGGTAAGCGGTTGCTGAAGTACAGTACAGTCTACATCTATCCTCGATTACGAATAAAAATGCAGATGCGTTGTCACCCGTGAGGACTAAGGTGGAATGCCTCATTTCCAGTAAAAAAGGGTCTCCGGTTCTCTACACTCACGATACTAAATATAGCAGCATTAAGCTAGTATTTCACACTGGTATTCTGTGAGAGCGTGGTCCTCCCCGGTCGAGCAGACCCATTCGTGCTACAACTATACTTCTAATATAACTGCAGCATGGCTCTACCACGTATTCTACTTAAAAATTAACAAAAAAATAATAATAAATAACATAACATAAGTATTAGTGTCGATATGCGATTTTTCAGCTAATCGTCAAAATTAAAAATTCACAAAAAAGTATGTCGCTTACGACAAAGAAATTAGGCTGAGGACCTCAATTTACATAATGCCTAAGCGACAGAATGTATGTCGTAGAACCGTAGTCAGATCAAACGACGCTGAAAAAAACGACGATTCCAACCATATATACGAGTATAAGTCGTTTTCGCAAAATTTAGCTGTTATCCCTTTTTGGCTGTATTAATTACATGCTAAATTATATTACATGCTAAATTATATTTTAAGTAGTAACATTAAAAATTTCAATATCTATTGTTGCACACCATACTTAATGTCTGGTACATGACCACTAGCGCCATCTAGTATTGAGTAGCAGGAATTAGGAGAGCTTTCTAGGAAGTCCCATACTAGAACTTTATACTACTAGTCGGGCGAGATCGGTATGTACTCGAACATTCTAGGTGTTTCAGTAGAAGAGGTTCTCTATAATGACGGTAATCATCGCGACCGCGTCAGTATTGAATTAGCGATTCAAGCGAATACTTCGAAACGGTACAACTATGAACTAAAGTGATGAGTGTGATTGATAACTGGTGTTAGGTAATTTAAGTGTCAATTTTGGTAATTCATTCGGCAGTTTTTATTGTTACGAACCCCAAGCTCGTAATACTATTTTAATTTAAAGTGTAAAGTAAACAAAAAGTATTTGTTTGTATTGAAACACCTTGCATTCTAATTTATGACTGGTTTGACTTAAAATTCTACATTCAAGTAAATTTAATATTTAAAATCAATTGCCTTAGGGGAGCGAGGCAGGGTTTTTACAGGACAGAGGGCAAACGAGCATACGGTCGGCCTGATGTAAAGTAACTACCGCAGCTCATGAACAACTGCAACACCAGGGGAATTGCAGGTGCGTTGCCTGCCTTTTAGAAAGGAGTAGGTTCTTTTCTTGAAAGTTTCTAGGTCGTATCGGTCCGAAAAATCGCCGGTGGTAAACTATTCCACAGAAAGGTCGTAGAGGTACAAGGAAGAAAACTCCTAGTGAAACGTACAATGGTGGACAGCCAAGCATCCAGCTGATGTAGATGGTATCGAGAGCTTTGCTGAGTAGTGCATTCATGAAATTTGGTGACTTGAATTAATTCGAAAATTTCTCAGAGTACTCCCCGTGGTAAATACGAAAGAAAATGCCAAGAGATGCAACATCTCTTCACATCGCCAGTGATTCGAGCCGATCGGAAAGTAAATCATTAATTATTATTAAATAAATCTTTTGATAGGTATTAACTTATAATAATTATTGATCTAAATAATAAAATAAATAAAAAATATTTGTTCTTACGGCGCTAAAAATAATGTCGTTTCATTTGTATAGTGGGCTTTCAAAAATTAAAATATATTTCAAAGGCAAGTAAAAATCTTTCTTTGATTCTAATAAGTGAAACAATAGAACTTGTGTCTTTTTAATTTAATCTCTACCTTACTTCAATTATCCTACTGAATCCTAATTTATTTTTGCTCAGACATTCGTTCCATGAAATAAAACAATTTAGAAGATAATTATTTACAAAGCCCGATGACAGAATCTATCAAATAAAGAAAACTAAAGACAATTTTTTGTTAAGATATCTTATCTTAATCCAAAATTAAGCCGATGTGAAATAAATCTCTTAATTTATTTACTTCTAGCGTAATTTCAAAAAAAAAATTAAATATGCAAAGCTAAGTAGCTAAGCGAGTAATACCTCGTCAACGTTACTTGAAGACACGCCGAAAAGTTTACCAAATTTATCAGTTGATGATGACTCAGAACTTATTGAAGAGATCAACCTGCTTAAGACTCAATTAGCTAGCGCTAGTCCGGTAATTGAACGATTAAATATTCTGGTCACTAACCTTCAAAAGATAATAGAAAGCCAACAAAAAAAGAGTAAAATATTTAAACAACTACTTTCCGAGCCTAGTCCACGAAAGTTGACGCCATCGAAATATGTCAAAACCAAGCACAGACCACTCGGAAATATTGCTCCAGCATCCTCCCCAAAAAATACTCCATGTAATGATGATATAGCAAACTCTGAACCGACTCCTTTACCTGGGACAAAGGAAATAAGACAGCATGAAATGGCAAACAATTCCATAGAGACGACACCCACAGTATCTTTCAATGAACAAAGCCAGAGAATTGTTATTATTGGTGATCAAACAGCACGGATCATGGCGACATCTTTAGCACAAACAAGATCTAATTACAAAAATCCAAAGAAATATTTTATCAATGGAATAGTATATCCAAATGCAAGCATTGAACATGTAATTCAGTATTCTAAAATTATGATTGAAGAACTACAAGAAGACGACTGGCTTGTTCTATGTCTAGGATCCAATTACTCGAACCCAATTAAAATAGGCGTGGAGCTGTTGTCATTACTAAAGAGACAAAATAAGGCAAAAAATTAGTGACCAGTGTAATTGAAAAACCGAATCTTAATGTAAAAGGACTCAATTCCCATATTCAAACTATTTTAAAGTGTTTCAAAAATGTCAACTACCTAGATTTAAGTTACAATTGTATATATCCGTATCGTAGAGTAAATAATGTTATAGACACATTTGACTACAAAAAAGTATTTCCTATGTAATTCAAAAAATAACAATGGCATACCAAAAGCTGACTGCAGGTCACTGGAAACCATTATAATCGCAAAGCCAGGCACCGGCATCCTTTCTATTTTAAATCTCTTAGAAAACATAAAACGGCTAATGATGGGTTAATCCCTATTAACAAAAAAGTGGAACCTCCTAAAGGCACGATTCCATACTACTTTAAGTCAGTAAAAAATACCTTTGTACACAAAAAGACACTGATCAGCTTTTTCGTTAGGAACGACACTAAATACAACTCTTTTCGACTTCTTCATCAAAATATAGCTGGTGTACTAAATAAAATTGACATTATAGACTTGACGCTAACAGAATTATCACAATCTTATAAATCTATTGACATTTTATGTTTAACTGAAACGTTTATACAGCTAGGTTGCGAGGCCAATTTGAATTTAAACGGATATAGGATGGCTGCGTTTGTGTTCTCAGCAAAAAAGGATTGGAATGCAAACCTATTGATATTGCTAACGAACTTGCTTGTCCCTACCACTTCGAATGTTGTGTCATATCCTTACCATTATTTGCATTTATAGAACACCGGATAGCAATGTTAATCTATTTTTTACAAATTAAATGAGCTTTTATATCAATTTACAAACAAAAAAACGTGCAAAAATATATATATATATTATGTGGCGATTGGAATATAGATATCCTCAAAGAAGGAAAAAATACGTACGAGCTATTTGAAATATTAGAAAGTTACAATATATCTATCTATATTAAAACCACTACAAAAAATACATGTAATGATTAAGCAGCCAGTTATATAAGTAAGATAGATGCCGAGATCTTAAACCTGGCATTATCAGACCATGAAACAGGTCAAGCCATATTATTTCAAATTCAAGTAAAATCTACTGTAACAACCTGGCATAAATTTCGCAGAGATTACAGTAAAGAAAACATTCAAAAGTTTTCTGACTGTCTATTGCATCTCTCCTTCTCGGAAGTGTACAATCAGACCAATGTTGATGAGGCCTATAGATCATTCCATTACTTGTTAACTCTATTTTATGGACTTTGCTTTCCTATAATTAAACTTACGAGAAACAACATGTGTAATAGAGGTAGTTGGAAAACAAAAGGTATAAAAAAGTCAAGTATTACGAGTACAAAAGAAAACTTTACCTAACCTATATATACTCAAAAACTAATAAAATGTTAAATAAAAATAAATACGAAAAATATAACTATCTTTTGAAAAAAGTGCATATATAAAGCTCAACAAAAACCAACTTAAAATACATTCTTAATAGTAAAAATACTTGCAAAGCTGTTTGGAATTCAGTAAATTCAAGTACAAATGAAACTACCCAAATTAATAAAATTGACGTAATTAAATTTAATGACCAAACAATTAGTAAGCCTGGCATGATATGTGAATTATTTAACAAATTTTTTATTGACCTAATTAACATCAATAATACTAATAAGTCTGGTAACAATTCTGCTCAACCAAATATAGATACAAATCCAAATACAATTTTCTTACAACCACCGGAACCAGCGGAAATTAAGAAAATAATCAAAGAATTAAAAAACACGAATTCAGTTGGCTACGACGAACTCAGTACCAAAATACTAAAGTCATGTGTCTGTTATATCTGTACACCACTGAGTTTCCTTATAAACCTATCATTTGTCGAGGGCTCGACCTAGGAAGGACCACGCTCTCACAGATTACCAGCGTGAAATAGTAGCATAATGATGCTGTGTTTCGTATGGTGAGTGTGAACCGGAGACCCTTTTTACTAGAAAAGAGGCATTCCATCTTAGTCCTCACGGGTGACAACGCATCTGCATTTTGATTTGTAATCGAGGATAGATGTAGATGTCTATCGACCGCAGCAACCACTTACCATCAGGTGGACTGTATGCTCGTTTGTCATCGTATCCTATAAAAAATATAAAAGTGAAACGATATATATTATTCATACAAAAGTAATTTTAAATTTGTATACTGAAGTAGCAATGGGTCGGCCATATAGCTCGAAGAACCGAAAACCGTTGAGGAAAAAAGGTTCTCGAGTGGCAGCCTCTTACTGGTAGGCGAAATATAGGGCGACCCCCCTCTAGATGGAGTGACGACCTAGTAAGATATGCAGGAAGTCGATGAATGCAGGTGGCTCAGGACTGTGCTTTGTGATATATCTTGGGGGAGGCCTATGCTCAGCAGTGGACTTGTGAAGGGCTGTAATGATGATGACGATGATGATGATACATTATATTTTACCTCAAAAGCAACTTTTATCTGACAATGATAACTCGGTATTTAATATACTAGATTAAACCCTAAATTATAATTTAACTGTCCCCGGTTACAATTTACATTTTTAAGTAGTTCAAAGTCCTAATGAAATACTAGCCGTCATAGAAATTATGAATTATTGATATTATGAAAAATGGTTAATACTTGGAATTATAGATTAAGCTGCTTTTTATATAACGGGCCTAAAAGCCGCAAATACAATACACCATACTCTATTATGTCGTTATAAAAGCAACTGGCTCTCATTTAAATTGGGCCCATCAAAGACTATATTAACCGATTTCCTGCCATCGTACTTTTATGACTAGTGAACGGAAGCTTTTCAAAATAAATGGCTACGCGTTCATTTCCTTTTATAAATGTGTCAATAAGGTAATTAATATTGATCAAAAATATCCTTATTACAAAGCAAACCTAATAACAATAACTTTAATTTCTCAGACAAGAAATTATTTCACTGAAATTGCTATGTAGATACCCGTAAATTTCTGAGGTTAGAACAAGTCACATGCTGCAAACACCTAGGACTCAATATTGATACCCATTTTGTATGGAATATATATGTTGAACAAATCTGTAACTATGTAGCCAAGCAGAAATTTGTTACTTAATATGCTGTACTATGCGCTCGTAGAAGCCACTATAGATTATAGGTTGAGTAACCTTGGACTTACGTTCCCAGTGTATTTAATAAAATCAAAATGCTACAAAAAGATTGTTAAAGATATTTAAGGTAAAAAAAGTTAAAGTTACAGCCTATAAACGTCCCACTCCTGAGTAAATGCCTCCGCTCATTTCTGAAAGAGTTAGGGCAAGAAATTGTTCACCGCGCTGCCGCGATGCGTGTTGACGAACTTCACATGTCTTCGAAATATTTTTTTCCTATTTCTCTGACATGCGGGTTTTCATCACGATGTTTTCCTTCACCGCCGATCACATGGTAAATGAGCACTTAAAATTACAAAGTAAATTGCAGTTGGTTAGCGCTCGCAGTAAATTTTACAGTACGCGAGTAAACCGGGTTCGATCCCCGCCGGGAGCAATGAAAGATACTAGTAGTAATATGATAAACTTTTCAACATTTATAAAGTTATCCTTGTAGACAAAATTTTAAAAATAAAGTTGATAATGGAACAGATAAATAAAAATGAGTTTAAAGAAGAAAGAATATATGGCTACCCAATTACTTCGGTACGCGCACGAGACGATGGGTTGTACCGTAATTTTATAACGAGCTGCCATCGGACTTGTTTTGTAAAATTATCTTGAAAAGTCATTTAAAAATACTTTAAGAAAACTTTGCCTATCATTGTATAGGTACGCCACAGACCAAGTCTAACGTACTGTAAAAATTAGCAATCCATGTGCAGTGCGTGCTGTTTAAGTATGTGTTAAATTACTGTACATGTATGTATGTAAAAGAAACAATTCAAAAACTAATAAACCGATTTCAATATTTGGCTGATGTAGACCTAATAACAAAATTTGTACTAAATTTTTATAAATAGAATAATAAAATAGATGTTGGTAGATGTTAGTATATGTATAAAAAATTATACTTAAGATTACATACACTTAAGTACTCGTATGTAAGAAGAGAACTATTGCCGACAAACTGTTTTGAGGTTTGGCAGAAGAAAATATATAAACGTTTGTTGTATAATTGGGAGAAAGTAAATAAAAAAAGTTGAATTTGGGGTAAATATACACCCCTATTTTTACGTGATAGAGCCACTCTGCAGCTGTACGAGATATTGAATCTTAGTCCCCAGGCTTGAAAATGTATCTGAATTTTAATTCTTAATCGAGAACAGACGTATACATCTATGGATAATAGCATTTTTTATAAAAAGAAACCAGTTGAACCATGTGAAAGTTTGTCAACCTTATTTTACATTAAATCATCATCATCATCATTACAGCGCAGGCCTCCCCAAGGAATACTACAAAGCACGGTGCTGAGCCACCTGCATCCATCGACTTCCTGCTTTTCTTACCAGGTCGTCACGCCATCTAGTGGGAGGTCGTCCTACACTTCGCCTGCCGATACGATATATATATATATATATATATATATATATATATATATATATATATATATATATATATATATATATATATAATAATTTTTGTATATAATGATTTTTTATATTTACGCGAACACTACACATTTAAATAAAACAAGTTTTTACGGATTTTATCGCATGTAATAACTTTCTTATATTGAAGGATTTTTCCTCGCTAAAGAACACCAATGCCTTTCAAGGATGATTCGCGAGGGTACTAAAACCAAAAAACATCTCAATCTCAATAGAGAAGATGGCTGGTCGCTACCATTTGCTTAGGATCCTGTTAATAATAACATGTATTCCCAACCCAAGCACACAACTGCAAGATTTCAAGATAATACAGTTATTATCCTGTGTAGATGGGCACAAAAATTAAAAATTTTAATCTGTGGGTAACCGCGCCGCGGTTAAGTATGATATCTTGACGTTGAACACTTTTGTTCCCCCCCCGT